AAATTTATTTATACTTTCGTTAAATATGACATAAGATTTTGTGGTATCCACTAGTGTAAATATTTTAAATTGAAGATCAAATTCAGTCATTGTATTCTTATAGGGTCAAGGAGTGTAGCTGTAAAAAAATCATCAAAATCAGAGTTAAAATAGCCGTTAAATCGTGATTTTTCATTTATAACCATCGAAAAGTTTTGTCTCGTTACTAGATCTCTGAATGTTTGTTTTTTGCAATTTTTGGTATACGATCTTGAAGTTATACAAACAAGTCTAACGGTTGGATCGTTGAATGGTGTGTGTGTGTGTGTATATATATATATATTTATTTATTTTGTACGTATAACACTTAAGAAATTGAATAGTATATACATTTATTAAGTAGCTTTAACCTTATTTATATTTTAAATCGTAAAATAAAATTATTTTATTTTTTATTATTCATAACAATTATTTTTATAAATATTGTGCTACGAACCAATTTTTCGTCTCTCAAAAGTTTGCGCGAACAACAGTTCGTCGAGCAAAACTCTAAAAATTTGGGCGGGTACCAAAAATGGGACGCGGGAATTTTATTTTATTTTTTGACTTTGCGCGACCAATATTCTAATATATGTCGCTTAAAACTTTGCGCGACCAATATGTTTCGTTGGGCAAAACTTTGCACGACCAATTCGTCGAGCAAAAACTTTGCGCGACCAATATTCCAATATTTTTGGTCGCCCAAAAATTTGCGCGACCAACAATATTGTTCGTCGTGCAAAGTGATACGGTTTTTAAACCTCCCCCACCATTTTCTCAACGTCATTCTCTACTCTTACCTCTCCTCTCCCTTTCCCTCTCCTCAAATCCCACCCTTTCTCTCACACTCACTCCTCTCACTTAATCTCACATCATCTCTTTCTTCACTATCTCTCACTCTCACTCACTCTCTCATCTCTCTTTTCACTATTTCTCACTCTCACTCACTTTCTCATCTCTCTATCACTATCTTCTCTAATTCTCACAATCACTTCTCTCTCTCATTCTCACTCACTCTCAATCTTGCCAAAAGGTATATTCTCTCCAAATTTTACATTTTTTTTCATTAATATGTGTTTTTGGAGTTAGTTTTGAGTTTGGGTTGGATTTGTGGTATAACAATTTTAGGGGAGATTATCCCTTTTCTTTTTTTTTGTTATTTGACCTTTTTTTTTTTTTGGTAGGGAATCATCGAGACTTTGACGGCTAAAGTTGAGGATTAGGAAGCTATCAAAACATATCCTCCACCACTACCTCCACAATACGCTTGTATTAGGATTTTATTATTGTACTTCGTTAATTTATGTGTACATTTTGAATATTATATATATATATATTTATTGGATAATTTGATCACTATTTTTCATATGTAATTTTATTTTGAATATGTCAATTTAAATTAAAGTAATTAAAAAAATCATACAATTAAATTAAATGTAAAAAGTAAAAATTCAAAAATATTAATATATTTAAATTAATATCAGTTTAAATTAAAGTAACAAAAAAAATCATACAATTAAATTAAATTTTAAAAGTAAAAATTCAAAAAAATTAATATAATTAAATTAATATTAAAGAAATAATAAAACCAAAAGTCAAAAACCAAAATATTTCGTCGCGCAAATATTTACGCGACGTTAGTATTCGTCGCACAAAACTCTAAAAATTTGGGCGGGTACCAAAAATCGGACACGGGAAATTTTTTTTTATTTAATTTTTTTAAGACTTTCGCGACGAAAGTTTTTCGTCGCGCAAAACTTTGCTTGACCAATGTTTTTCGTCGCGTAAAACTTTGCATGACCAATGTTTTTCGTCTCCCAAAAACTTTACGCGACTAATATTTTTTGTCGCGCAAAGTCTTGCGCGACCAATATTTTTCGTTGCGCAAGGCCTTGCGCGACCAATATTTTTCGTCACGCAAAGTCACTTTGCGCAACCAATGAAAAAGTTCGTCACGCAAAGTCTTTCTTCACGATCTTTGCGCAACGGATTCTGCCCGACGAAATTTCTGTCGCGCCGAAATTTGTGCGACTACAATGTATTTTGCACGACAAAATTCTCTTCATCGCGCAGAGTGTAAAATGTAGTAGTGTTAACGTGTAGTTTATTTTCTATTTTATATTTTCATATTCAACTAGTACTGAATATTGTTCACATAAATTTTTGGTAATACAGAAAGGATCTAGCACAAGAAAATCCCACTGTTTGAGTAATTAAAAATGCCATCCCACTTGATTATTTTAGTTAAATATTAATAAATAAATAAATATAAAAAAAAAAAACTGCTTGGTTTCCGAGAGCTTGCTGTTCCTACTAGCGCAAGTAGTGGATCGTATTATGTTTTTATTTCTATATACTTGACAATATTATTATTTTTTTAATTTGGTCAGCTTTTCAACAAAAAAAAAACTATTTATACAAAGAATTTTACCAACTTCATTGTGTATTTTTACCCCAAAAATAATTGTGAATGCGTATGCTGATGTTGATGGGCTTGGTTCTTCTTCATTGGAGTGGTTTGCTTACGCCCGATATAAACCTAAAGGTCCAAACCAACCACATACATATCCATGTTGAAGATTCTACCTAATTCATTTAGATTCAAACAGTCAACAAAAAGTCATATGCATTTTTAGAGCGTACAAGTTACATGGAAGTCATAGAAATTCTTATTCATAATATTAGTTGGGAAATGTTGTGTTAGGAACAATCTAATATGTTATATTATCAGACTGGATTTCTTATTAAAAAACGCATATTTGGACATGATTCTACTTGATCAACTGAGACGATAAATAATCTGATGTCAAGGAAAACGTTACTCAAATTAGAAAGTATGAGTCAATTGATCATCGTGCTTATAGTGCTCATCATGAAGATTGAAGGGTGGAGGATGTAAAAGCCACTCATTTCCATCAACGTAGGAAATGTCCACGAAGGGGGCTGCTTCAGATTCATTGAGTTGCCTTGCATACGAGGTCCTATGCGTATAATTTGCGCCCGATCCCATGCAATCGTACTCCCCAAACAACACTGTCCTGCATTCAAATGAACACCTTCATAATTAGAAAAAACAACGACAACAAAAAAGAGAGAAGAGAACAATAGAATTTTGGAGACACCAAAAATAAAAAAAGCAATATGAGGAGCAAAGCAAGCAACCACAGACTGGTCTCTAGAGGGGTCTCTCCAGTCATTCCATCCATCTGAAGCCACAACATCAGACATGTATGTTTTAGAAAACACCACAGTTGCATAAGCTCCCCAAGCTCGACCAAGCCACACTTTCCCACTTCCTCCAATGCTGCAATTCACAAACGAAAATCCGCTTTGCTCCTGCGCCGACTGCCTTCCTTGTGCCGTGACGGCTCCACTTATCCCCCGTTTGACTGGATTTGCTATCGAATTAATGGTGCACCCCTATCAATGCTTTAAAATTAGTACCGGACTTGTAATGCTAGAGACACCAAATCTCGTTGTCGTGGTTTTTTATTTGTTCGTATCTGAGCCTACCCTGAATCTCATTTATTTCCAACGATGCTGGCACATCACATTAAATTATGACAAAGCCTGTTGTTTATGGATGGATGATTGTGTTATAACTTATACCTCATAGAGTGATTTAGCTTTGCCAAAAATGAAATCGATGGACCCTTGAATGAAACATTCACTAAAATAATGCCTCCCACGATCATCATTAAGCGTGTCTTGGGCACCATAGAAGCCACACCCATAAAATGCAGCTTGATCTCCTGCAATTCTTAGTGCCACTGCCTGTGCTCCAATTCTTCCAGGACCTGGTGGCGGAGCTGTGTTCTTCTCAACAACAACAACAACAACAAAAAGGAAGAAAATATTTACCAAATTATTGAAATCCCACATAGGAAACATATCAAACAGTTCCATTTTCTTTACCTGAAAGCTAATATTGTAGGCAGTGAAATAGGGAGCAAAGATGGCAACTGAAGAGCTACGAGCCGTCCCTCCAGTAGAATTGGCTGTGTCATTCCATGCTATGATGGTGTTAAGATAGCCCTGACCTTGAAATATCAAATTGGTCTTGTTAGCAGCCACCGTCACCTTTTCCCTGCCATCATATATTTGATCATATGGTTAATAAGAATTAATTTGCAAACCTATGTCCATATTTCAACTTCATTTTCTTATTATAGGACAGTTTCATTTTTCTCCCTTGGAATATATAATACCTGTAAGTACCCGAATCGATTATGATGAGGGTTCTATAGTTGCTAAGCTCAGGAGCAGCATCTACTGCCTTTTGCACACTACTAAAATTTGTGCAACCCTCTAAGCCTACTGTCAAAACAAGGGACACATTGTATTCAGATACGAGCCTAAATTTCCATTTTGTGTTGGCACATTTAGGGCTCCACTGGCGGTGGTGGTGGTGGTGGTGTCTGGACACAATGCTTCTCAAGGTAGACAATAAGGTCTCACCACTTTTCTTGAAAACCCCATCAAATATAGCAAGCTTGAAACTATTTTGAGCACTTTTGGCAATAGTAGAAGTTGAGGAGAGAGAGGACGGCATGTGATGGAGAGAGATGATAGTGGAAACAAGTGCAATGACAAAGGCTGAGAACCAAAAGAAGAGGGTTGTTTTGGTTCTCATGGTTAAGGCTTTTGACGTATTTAGCTGAGGTATGATGTTATTTTGAGTTAAGAAGTGGGTTGGGGCTTGTGGGGGGTTATAACTTATTTCATTATGTGTCCAAAAATTGGTCATGTAAAGGTGAAGATGATTACAAAATCTCTGCTTTTAAAGTTAATTTATGGTATGGAGAGAGAGAGAGAGAGAGAGAGAAGGCATGGAGATTGGAAAATGCATACGCAAAGCCACAGAGGAGAGGAGCTGAGAGATTTTATTATGATCAAAAATCAAAGATGAAAGGAGGGAAAGTGGTAAAGGTGTGGGCATGTGTGTGTGTTTGGTGGTGATGCTGTAAGACTTGAACTTTAATTTTAATTCTTTGAAAATTGGAGGTGTTTCTTGACAACTTAGCGCAAGGGGTACACCGTACACTACACTACTAAATTGGGCGGTGGGACTTGTAGCTCCATATAATCATGGAGGTTTCTGAAGAAAAAGTGACTTGAAATTTATGAAACCGCCCTTGCTGTGTGGAACATTAGGCATAGCTGCGGCGTGCAATAGTACTTCTTGTTCTGAATCCAGCAGCTCATGTGAATCAATTGGGAAAAATGTTAGGCGGAGCCATTCATGTGTGCATGGGTGACTTACAATCATAGATGCTTAGCTTATAATACATCAACGGCTGGAAGTCACCCTTAGCTTATAATACATCAACGGCTGGAAGTCACCCCCGTAGGCACGGATAACCGTCCCAAGCAACCTCTTCAGTTGGGGCGCATATGAATTAAGAAAATATGAGCCAATGACAATGAGGGAGATTTTATGCGTATCTGGTACAGAACGGGGATTTTGGAACATTGACAAACAAGGCCTTATCAATGCATCGAACATGGGAATCAGTTTTTTTTTTTTTTTTTTTTTCCATTTGATACAACACCAACACCTGCTGCTTCATAAGAAAATACCAAAGATGATTATTATTATCCTATTTTCTTTCTATTTTTTTTCTTGTGGGAGAAGATAATTCAGTTTTTAGTTTATTACATAATAGAATACTCGAGTACAAGACCTACCACTTTCACCAATTTATCCCAAAATCTGACTGAAAAATAAACTGAGCAAGAAGAAAATTTGAGAAAAGAAAAGCACAGAACTTAAAAACTTTCATACATTTAACTCTTGTGCATGCAGAATATGCGCTCAATAAAGCCTTATAAAGAAAAAACTAACGGAAAAATAGAGCTATTTAGCTGAAGTTCAAGAAAAATGTTGATATGAACAGCAGAGGCTTGACAATTCCAATTCATAAAATTTTACAAACATGAACTGGAAACTAAAAGCTTGCTAATAAGGATAAGGAAAAAGAAAAAAAGCTCTTTCATTTCCCCCCTGCTCTCATAGTGTATTTACAACCCGACACTCAGGAACCTTTTTATGTAGCATTGATGTTCCTTTGAAGGTCACCATTTGGTAGCAAGTCCTTCTGTAGTTGGTAAGCTGCGGCAGCGCAAGGACACAACCGTAAATTTCAGGGCAATAAAAAGGCACAAAGAGAATGAGTGCATTATTTAGACACAATTAAAATATACCTGGTCCGGCATTATTTTTGTAAAACCAAATTTTTCAGTCCATATGGATTCGGCTTCTTCAGCAGCTGGCAGCACAAGGCTCTTCACACTCAAGAAAGCTAGCAGCTTCTCAATGCAGGAAAACAACAACTGGAAGTAGCCCTGTGAATTTTGGGTAAAAAAAGTTGAATCGTATCAAACTAAACTTGGGAGTCATAACTTTGTTCGCAAGAAACAGAACCATCAAAACTGAAAAATTGTATCATAAAAACACCAAGGACAAAAGAAAAGTAGGGGCATAAGTTCAGCATAAGCAGCTCGAAATAATATTAAATATATTTCTCTATTTTAGTCTCACCTTGCCGTGGTTACCATTACTTGTAGCAACCAAAGGAAGTTCAGCGACTTCATGACCAAAAACACGAATAATTCCAGCTGATACCACAGTTGAGCTGCAATAACAGATGAGTTTTATCAATTATATTACAAGGAACCAAGTCCACAATCAGAAATCAAACAACTTACTTGACCATCAGTATTGCACAGTACATCCCCCCAAACTCTTGGCTCCTAACATTCCTTCAGAGAGAGAGAGAGAGAGAGAGAGAGAGGAGAAGAAGAAGAAAATCTATTAGAATACTGGATGCACATGCAAAACTTTGGACTAGATAAACCAACTACAATATAAGGTCACAGATCCTTATGCTTACCCATAAACCATGGCTGGAATAAGGTCTCGCCCAGATTCTGAATCAATTATAGGATCAAAGCAATCCTGCAACACAGGTATGGGAGAATATCAATTATTGTTAAGATGATGGTTCCTTTCATGTGTGTAGTAAGTGCCTCTGCTATGCTTCTTGTATGCAAACACTCACATAAGATAAGCCTAGTGTATAAAAGCACATTACAATGTACCATTCCTTTTTATTAAAATCAACAGTCCCATCAGTCATACAAGAAAGGGGGTAAGGAGCTTCACCCTAACAACCAAACTAGGACACCAACTGCGTCATAGAAAATAATAATAATAATACAACTTGAATACCAACCAAATTTTGCTTGGCAAAAAACGAGTTAAATGGAAGAGGGTCATCCTTGCTACAAATTCCATATCCTCTTTTTCTCTCTTAAAAAATGTTTGTTAGGAAAAAGATGCCAAAAGAAAATTTCCAAATTGTTATTTTATCGCTTTGTATCCCCTGACCAACTTTCTTTAGATAAAGATGTGTTTGTAACAGCATATCTACAGCATACCTTTACTCTTTCCATCCTCATCCCTTTACCCTTGCCATCCTGTTTCCCTTCGTTTCTATCAAAAGGAAGAACAATATGCACCATTCCTTTCTTTTATCCTTCCATTGTGATTACCCAATCCATCCCCCTTACCAATCAAAGTATTAGGCCATTTAGAAGCAATATAATCCTCCGGAAATGACACAATCCTTAGTTCCTCTTAAGTTAGGTTCCTAAACAAGTCATTGTGTTCAGCTCCAGGGAGAATATATGAAGTTCAAGGGGATTATGCTGCCCATATGCAATTGTGACCAAATTTCAGTTTTTATTTCTTTTTTGCTTGCAGAAGAATTTCAGCTAATTGGCATATGATGCAGAAACTAGTCTTCTTTAAATTTCCTTTTCTTCTTTTTTTTGCTCATAAACGAATTGTCTAAGATACTCAGTTACCACCCAAAAAAAAAAATTCATAAAAGGAAAATTTAAAGAGACGTACAAACAAAAGTTTGTTACAATAAATAAAACAATACAAAAGTAATAAGGATGTAACTAAACTAACTTATATTGAACTATGTTTATGAAGAAGCCCTCTGGAAGAAAGTAAATTACTGTGGGATGACCCTAAATTGCTGTAGGCAAGCACCACAACCTTTTAAAAGAAGAGAGGGAAGAACTCACATGGAAGATAGCAACAGCCTGTGCAAGTAATAAACGAGATTCCTGTGAAGCAATTTTGCCACTAATAAGTCTCCATCTCACATCTAATCCACTGATAGTTTCCAAACCATTTCCTTCCTGCTTCTTCTTTATAACATCCAAATGAGAGTCCGGAAGCTTCTCAGCTCCTCTCGTTAGCAACTTTTGTAAAATAGAATGAATTTTACTGCAGTCCACGCAACAAAACCACTTCCCCTTTGGCAATTCCTGTCAAAGAAATGGCATCAACACTTCAATCAGAAATCTATTTTGCAAGTCCACAGGAACGAAAAGACTCTGGTGATATAAATCATTAAGCATCTGCTTTCTTTGAGGTGCTCACCTTTAAATTTGCCATTTTATGTTTCTTTAAACAGCCAACATGATATTCCTTCTCACACTAGCAAAACAAGAGGAGAAAGCACCACTTAGTGGTTTAAATAGAAGCAATAGTAATATTTTGTGGAAAAGTGCACTTCAAATGCAACCAAAAATATGAAAAATTAAAAAACACCTGATCACAAAGTATAATAGTTCGTGGACCAAATCCTGATTTGCTAAAATCATAACCTCTGCATGGAAGAACAAATAATTAAAAAGGCAACATAAAGAGGTATATCAAACAATTATCCGTCACAAATGCATAACAAACATGATGACTAAGCCAATAAGTTTAAATAGAATAGGTTTCCAATTATTACCTACATAAAACACATCCAGTCAATTCAGCTTCTATGTCTTTGACAATACGAATGCATCTTTGGGTTATCTGTTCTATAGGGTCAATTCCTGAAATCCTTCCAGCGGCAACAGCATTTTCATTATGTTCCACAAACTTTTCTCTTTGGAACATATTCTGGCAGAACTTACAGTACCAGTCACCACGAGGAACACTTGGTAGAGATGCACAGTCTGCATGGGGCAAACAATTCATACCGCAAACTCATATAAGGCAAATGCAGTTGCGGAAGTGCATCAGAGGGAACTCAATGACTGCTCCATCATGATTCCACAAATTATCTTAAAAGTGATATACAATGCAAAGTAAGATCCAAATACAAGTGAAATGAATTTCAGATTTACTTCATTTACAAAACTCAACAATTTTTGTAGACAATCAAACAAAACAAATTTTCAACATTTTTCTCTCACATTATGAACTTGAAATATAATTAACAAAGGATTTCCAAATAAAATTTGTTCTTGATTCAATAACTTTATCTCAGCCAAACAGAACCTCTTATTGGACTATAAAAGCAAATCAAAGGTCTTACCTTACCAAGAAAAGAGGGAACTAGTTTTGAGTCAATGAAAAGAAAATATGAATTTTATATCGTACTCATAAGAATCATAAATTTCACCTCTGTGGAAAGCCCTTGGGCATCCATCACAAAGCACAAGATTCCCACCATCTGCACAAATGATGCACAAGTCATCGTTATCCTTGGATGAATATTTCCGACCTCTCGACAAAGATATTGCCAACTCGTGGAGAGACACGCCATTAGATGTGTAAATGTATGCATAGCTGCCAAAAAGTACAAACAGAACCATAGAATTATCAAATCTTTAAGGTAAATCGTGACATGGGTACCCGCTGTATATATCACACAAAAACTTACGGTTTCCTGCGTGAAGCCCAACCTGCATGAGCCTCAAACTGTGAGGGGCTAACCTGCAGAATAAATAAAAGTGTCAAAATTTCCAATTTGAGATTCATGAAGTGTGAAGTCAAGTGGTAGCAGAAAATACCTCAGAGTTGCAGCAACGGCAAAATATTCCAAAGCCCATCTTATAACCAACTAGCAATTTCTGTCCACAGAAAATTATTGTTTTATTTCAATACGCAGATAAATAACATAAAAGTATGAACAATCTTTTTCTCAACAACCTGTCCGCGTGCATAATATGCTACTTCGGTTCCATCAGGCAATCCATCTTCCTCAAAAACCAACTTATGCAGCCGCTGATCTCTTGAGAAAGATACAACCAACGAAGAAGCAGATTATTCATATGTTACAAATGGAAAGAAAATACTTGCATTCAAAATCACGCTACCTAAAAAAGAAGCATATTTATGTTAATAAAAACTGACAGGAGAGGATGCAACCTACTTTGTCGTAATCCTCCACTGACTCTTCTTTTGCGAAGAAAAGTACATTGAAGCAGGACTGGGAGACCTTGAGATCAGAATTGATTTTGATGACCTGTAAATATGTAGACGACATATCACGAAGACATTAAACATACAGATAAATCACTGTACAATATTTCTCTATCAAGACAATTTGGAAGGTGTTCATAAGAACAAACGTAGCAAAAGGTTTCTCGAAAGAAGATTTTGCGAAAGAATCAGTTTTCTTGGCTTGCTATTAGAGCAGATTACTAGTCATAGGGATATAATGAACAGAATCTTATCATTGATTCTACTTAGAAGGATACCAACTTTGGTGTTATCTTCCATCTACTCTTATAAGGCGAACACATTGGCGAAGCACTTCCGGAGGGATCTGAGATCAAAACTGGCGGTGATGACCTGCAGTGAAGATAAAAGCATATAACAAAGGGAAAACAAATTTTTGAAGAAGTAAACCTCAATCAAAATTTTACTATTTCCATAATCCACATAAGTTTTCCCTTTTAGAGACTGAATAGCTATAAAGGTTAGTAAATTTAATTTTACGATTTAATATACACAATAATGATACAGCAAAGAGGGGGGGAGAAGGGGGATGTCAACAAAGCAAGAGACATACTTTCTCTTCTTTTGCAAAGACAAACAGACTGGAGCACTTTTGGGGGACTTTGAAATTGCATTTTTCAGGGTCTTTGAGATTGCACTTTTCAGGGGTTTTATGATTGCACTTTTCGGGGATTTAGAGATTGCGATTCTCGGGGACTTTGATATTCCAATTCTCGGGGACTTCGTGATTCCAATTCTTGGGGACTTTGAGATTCCAGTTTTCGGGGACTTTGGGACTGCACTCTTCAGGGACTTCGAGATTGAAATAGGCATCAAAGATCTGAAGATAATACAGATGCAAGAACATATGAGAAGGAATTTGCATATCAATACTATTCAATAACTAAAACTGAAAAAAAGGATACAACAACTGAGTAACATTCTTACACCTTCCATAAGGTTTCAGAAATATTATATTGCAACTTGTGACATAAATGTCACCTTAAGCAAAAACGCTAGGACTGATCCATGTATAATGGGACAGATAGAAAATGCAACCATAATGTTAGGATTTTAAAATTCATTTAATCAGCCAATATCCTATGTCAGATTGTGAGAAATAATGAGTTTTGAGACTCTTCGCTGCACCCAATGGAATCATGGTTTTCCAGAAACAGTTAACAAAACATTCTTAGAATCTCAGCAACAATGGAGCCAATCCCCAGCCTATGTCTAAATGAATATATATTGCCATATTAAGTAAATATGAAAATATATGTTACTGTCAATTTCCTTATAAACTGCAAAGATGAATAATTTGTATCAAAAGCACAAGCATACCACAACTAAACTGAATTTTAATTATTTTTATAATAAATGGGACGCATTGTACAACAGTTCCAATGAACTTGCAATATATAAGGTGGATATGTCACTCCCTTTAACACAACATGCAGATCTTACGTTTGAAGATGCAATATATAAGGTGCATATGTCACTCCCTTGAATTACAATGCAAGGCTTAACACCTTTCAAAGGAAACTACTACCTAATAATTGCTCTTGCTACCCTAACTCTTGCCACTTAGAGACAAGCACATGAAGATAAGCTCCCTACCAACAAAAAGTTATTCAATACCCTTTTCGCACCCAAGGCCCCAATAAAGCAATATAGTATTATTAGGGTGAAAAAAAAAATGGCAAAACTGTTTACATCATAGACTAGCTAATTTAAAGAAAAACAATGGATACAATCTGAAAATCCAAAATCCACAAATTCCAGGTCAAAATTTGACAAGAATAACAATGCTGGAAGCGGTAACTTGAAAAGATACCATACCTGAGACTATCACCAGGTTCATGAGTTGGACTGCACTCAGGCTTCTTTGACTCCATGCAAGAATAGCAGAGAGATCCATCATCCAGAGCACAGTATGGAGGAAACGACACTAGAAATGATAGAATACAAAGAAGAAGAAAAGAAAAAAAAAGCAATCAAGAAAAAGTTCATCAAATAACTATAATCAATATGCTTAAAACTGCTTAAATACAAAAGAATATAAAGAGAAAACAAAGATAAAAATTATTCAGAGCTCACCACTGCAATTTTTACAAGTGAAATACTTCTCCGCAGGTGAAGAATTGATGAAATTCTGAACTGTTGTCTCCAAAGTATGGAGAGAAGCATTTCTGCACGCCTTCAAGAGATCAAGCAGACTCCTTCCGTTCTCAAAGCAAATATACTGTGCTGCCCGTCTGTATGTTTTACAAGCATGAATCTCAAATTGGGATGGTGGAATAACCTACATTGATTGGAAAAAGAGCAAAGCAAATAAATAAATGCATAAAGCAACTCACAGAACAGTTTATAGCATACTAAACCATCTTAGAGCAACAAGCATTACTCACTCTGCAGTTGTTGCACAAGATACATGAACATAGAATCCCACCATCCTTTATTATGCCCCGCAAACCAAATGCCTGAAATAAAATCATCACCACCTTTTAGCTCATTATCTATACTAAACATATCTTTTTTAAAATGCATAAAAAATGAATTTGGAATCAAACTACCTTCTTGCTACCCATGTAAATCACCTGCACCCCATCAACCATTCCAGTATCAAAGAGCTCCTTGACCGTCGTAGGCTTCCTGTCCAACACAATCTTCTTTGACATTTTCAGTTCTAGCTTATTCCTCAGCGGGGATGCCAGTGTGCTGACTCCAAATGTATCATCCTCCTCTATATTTGAAATCACTTCAACTGGCACGGCCCCTGATGCACTTTCCACAGTAGGCTCAAACGTAGGTCTCAATGCTGATCGCGTAAACCGCCTCAATGGCCGGCCTTGCAAATCCGTTTCCCCCTCATTACAACTAGGCTCATCTTTAACTTCAACTTCAACCAAGTCCGCTTCCATATCATGCTCCTCGACCGAAGGCCCTGAGAACTCACTGTAGGGCCCATATCCACTACACCTACGCATCTCCAATTTGCAATTTGGTTCATCTTTAACTAAAAATTCAACTGATTCGCCCCTTTCAGAGCCCTGAGGAGAAGGGCTTTCATCAATTCTCAGCTCATCCGAGCTCTTAAGCCCATTTATTTCCGCATCATCGGAAAACGCATTTCGGCCATTGATCCGAGACCTTCTCTCTCGGGTATAAACAATTACACCATTCACAACAGCACCTTTAAACCTCTTAAAGTTGAGGTTCTCATAAACCCGCACACAAGGACTCGTCTGGGACTCGGTCTGAGTCCCAGTCAGTGAATCGGTGAGCTGAGACTGGCCCTCCAATACACAAGCCAATTCTCGCTTCATGCCGGTTCAATGAAACACCTCGCCCCACAAATCGTCCCCAAAATCTGCAAAGGCCCCAGGAAAAAAAAAATTTAAAACTAAAATCAAAGAAAGTTTCCAAATATTTGAAACGATATTGCTAAAACCCTAAAAATCTAGGGTTTAAAACGAAAATTGAGGAAGAAATAGTGTACCAGGTATATCAGATGAGAGCCATGAGAACGAAATTGGTTCGAATTGTCACTCTGAGATGGCAACGAAATGTGAGAGAGAGATCGGATAGAGGTAAATTAGGGTTTTTGAGTGACTTTCGCTGATATATTTTTGCTATTTTGGGTGTAGATTTGGTAGAAGAGAGGCGCAGACGTCCACGATATCGCTGTTATTGGAAGGGGAACTGACCCAACTCAGAGAGAGAGAGAGAGAGATAGAGAGCAGAGACAAGCATCAGTGGCCTATAGGAAGGGACCAATGGCAGGATCCGTAAATAAGTTGAGTTAATAGGTAAAATGACCAAAACGTCATTACACCTAGTTTTCCACGCCATCCCAACATAACTCAGTTTTTATTTTCCTTTTTACAACAAAGGAAAATGAATTTTCAAAAAGATAAGGAAAACTGTTTTTACCAAAAATAATAATAATTGCATTTAGTCGTTCACCTACTCCAGTAATTATCGTTTTGATAATCCCAGTGAAGAAAATTACCAAATTACAACTGCTCTTCGTTTTTCAAGCCATCTAAAACTCCGAAAGCTTGATTCTTTTTTTCCGCATTGAAAACAAATAAGTGATTGATAGTCATCAACTAATGACTTGATGTGGAAATTACCAAATTATCCATGTTTTAAATAACTTTATCCATTTCTTCCGTATACATTTTTCACTTGGGTTTTCTACGGTTTCGCCCTCTGAACGATTTGCATATTGTCAATTTAGCCGTCTAACAATTTTTTTGGTAAATTAAGGACTCCAGATGTTTAAAAATCGCCAATTGAAGGCCTACCATCAGAGTCTTAAGGACGCCATTCACTTTTCCTTTAGACTAAGGTCAAATTCATAATTTTGTGAAAATTATGCCATATTAAAATATCAAATAATAGTATGGGAGATTTACTATTATACCCACTGCCCGAATTATAAAAATACCCCATATAAAATGAACTTTAAAAATATACCCAAAACTCATTTACAACATAACAAAAAAAAATTTTAACTTGTTATAAATTATAAAACTGCCATCAATTTCTTAAAACAAGTCCAATCTTAAAATCTCATAAAAATACCCAAAACACTCAATAGAGTATCAAAGTAATTTAATAATTAATATTAAATTCAATAAGGCCACCTATCATTTTTTGGGTATTTTTTAGGTTTGTTTATAGAAAATTCAATTTTATATGATTTATTTATAATATTAATGCTAAGAATGGGTATATCACTAAATATCCCTAATAGTATTAAATATTTATTTAAAAACAAAATGAAAATTTTTATAAATAAAATAAAATTAAAACTCATCCCTCATCTTCTTCCACAAACCCTAGCACCCCATCATCTCCTCACGCCCACCCTACCCTCTCATGAACGCCACCCGCCTCCACCCTACCCTAGTGTCACCGCCTCCCATCACTTCATCTTTCTCTCTCCCTCTGTCTCTCTTCCCTTTTCTCTCTTTTCCCCCTCTCTATCTTCCCTCTCTATGTTTTCCATTTCTCTTTTTCTTCCCCCTATGTTTTCGAACAAACCAGGGTTGGGGTTTGTATTCGTTGAGTTCGACACCCTTATGAACAATAACTAGACGTGTGATATGTATCTCGGGTGTGGATGGGTCTCGGGTTGGGATGGTGGCGTTGGGCTTAGGATGGGATGGGATGGGTCTCGCAGGGTGGGGATGCGGAGTTGTATGGTGGCGTTGGGCTTGGTAGTTTTCTGGGTAGAGAGAGAAAGAAAGGGAGAGAAGGATAGAGGGGGAAGGGGGGACTAAAAGTTGGGTCGAGGAATTGGGGTTCTATGAGGCTGATTCAGTGAAGGGGGTGAATTAGAGGGTGTGTGGTCGATGGGGGTTGAGAGAGAGAGAGAGAGAGAGATAGTTGGGGTGTGGCACAGAGAGATTAGAGGTGGAGGGTGGGGGAGATGGAATGGGAAAAATGGGAAGGGGAAGGTGAGGGAGACGGAAAGGAAAGGATAGGGAGGGGAGAAGGAGGGGGAGGCTGAGTTGATTTTTTGTCTTTCTCTTTTTTGTCTTTCTCTTTTTTTAAAAAAATTAATTTGAAATGTTAAATATTTATTTTATTCAAATTTTATTTATTTATTTATTTTTATAAAATTATGAATTTACCCCTTATTTGGCAAAATTTTGGATGAAATTCAAAAAAATTGACAGTACGCCTCAATTGGCGATTTTTGAACAATTGGAGTTCTTAATTTATTGAAAAAATTGTTAAGAGGCTAAATTGACAATATGCAAATAGTTTAAGGGGCAAAACCGCATAAAACTCTTTTTTCTTCTAACAAAGTGATATTCAAAACTAATCAAACTCATATGCAAAAGTGCGGATACACTACTTTAGTTAATTAACTTAACTCACATAAATTGTTTCTTTCTTTCTTATACTTGTAAGTTGCATGGCATGATTATGATTAGAATTTATCATAATTTGCAGCCATGAAAGTAAAAACATCTTCCCATTGCTTTCACCCTGCCCTCATAATCTTTTCCTACCTAAGTTCTTTTTAAAGAACATAAAAACAATTAATTGATTTACCAATTAAAACAGTAAATTAAGAAGAAAACTTTATAGTTTTATAAAGTTTGTCAATGTGTCAACGGGGTTTGACCCAATGGAAAATGGCCCTAACTTGTAGACTAGATGCCTTAACTTGTATGTGTGTACGAGAAATCTCTCTCCTTTATAGTATATATTGTTCTAAAAATTTTAATAATGTCATAATGTGTTTAGTAATCAAGAATTAGAATTTTCATGAGGAATTGAATTCCACCTATTGAGATTTCATGCATTTACTTCACATGAAGGAATTAAAAAGTAAGTGGAGCCCATACAAAATTAGGTGGAATTCAATTCTTGGGTGGGAGGTGATATTTTCATTCTTGAAAAATTATCCCATTAGGAATTCATCTTTTTTACCCATTATATCCTCACACAATTTTAAAATTTTAAAATTTGTCATCTACTTTAACCCAACAACGAGGATATTTTAGTAATTAGAAGCACCCCTACCCCAATTCCATATGGTTTAGTAAACAACTTCAATAAGAATCTGAAATTTAATTTTCATCAATCCATATGATTTAGTAAACAACTTCAATAGGAATTCGGAATCTAAATCTCCTCAATCAGACTCCTCCTCATTTCAATTCATCCTCAATTCAATTGCTCCTAATCCAATTACGAATTAGTAAACATGTCATCAATGTAGCATATTTGTTTTTTACCATTTTAATCCCTTAAGTAAATTTGTGTTCTTTCTGCCGCTTTCTTTTAACAAATGGCCTAGTTTTTTTTTTTTAAATGGTTTTTAGTAATATTTTTTTATTTTATAAAGGAAACAAATGGCCTATTTGGATTTTCAAAAGTACACCAAACGTTTCCAACTATAGATTCTCATCCAAGTTTACCGTACAGGCTACATGAGTGTGCAGCACACTTGCGTCCTTAAGCAGCCAAGAGAATAAATTACCAATTACGAAAATACCCTTAAAGCAAGGAAGCTGTTGGAATTGACTAAAATAGCCCTAGCAAGCTTTGGCTTGCGGCGTTATAAGCGTGGCTAGTGGCCACTATGCCCCCATCACCAATACGACGAACATGGTTTGTTAGTGTAACTCAATAAAATTAAGATAGTTTTTGTTTCACTTTCTAAAAATCTCATATCATTGCTCTTGTTGTAATGCATGTGTTAACCTTTCAGTTTGGATGCTGTTGAGGCCCAAAAAAGTCACGGGAAGCCCAAAAACATTTAAAGCCCAATATAATATATAATGTTGGCTATGCGTTAATCCAAGCTGTATTTTGGGAATTAATTTATTAAATAAATATAGAAATAGTGTACATGCTATGCTAAACCAATAATACATTTTTCATATGTCAATCACCTACCAAGTTCACATGAACCCAAGTCATGTGGTTTACGAGGCTTTCACGAGGGATTGTGGTGTGGAAGGTTACAGAGGTCCACAGAAACTCTTGGATAATGGAGACTTTGAGCTAGCTACTTGGGAACACCAAAGTCCAAGCCCATTACTTAAAGTTCTCCAATGTGGGTGAGCAAATGAGATATTTTTCAAGCACTTCCTTTTACCCTTAGAAAATGGTCATTTTCCAAATGCCTAGCTTTACCAATTGGAAACAAGCCTTTTCTAGCACTCCCTATTATCCGCTAGAAACAAACCGTTTCCAGCGCTTCTTTTTACTTATAAGAAAGAATCAGTTTATGGTACCGAGCTTCACCTGTTGGAAAATAGCATGCTCTAGTGCTCTCTTTTAACCATTGGAAATAGTCTGGTTCTGGCACCTCCCTTTACCTATTGAAAATAAAGGAAAACCCTGACCCTCTATAAATTGGCATTCATGGCTCAGGCAAATGACACCAATTTTTCTTCAACCATCAAGCCTCCTCATTCGGCTGCTGCAAGCAACACAGCAACCATCAACCCTCTTCTTCAGCCATCAGGCTCTTCTTTTAGCTACTGGAGCAGCACAACAACTTCTTGCTTTGGTTGCTGCAAGGATCCAAGCAGCCATCAACCCCCTTCTTCAATCATTACACCTCCTTCCTAGCTGTTGCAAGCACCCCAGCCCTAACCTCATCTCCTTGAAATCCATCATCGTCTCTATAAAGCCTTACCAAGCATAACTTCAAGCTTTTCCTTCCTTCCAAGTTGTAAACACCATAGCCTTCAAACCTCAAGCTTTTCCTCCCATCCTTATTCTCTTGAAACTCTTAAATCCCCATAGCCATAGCCACAAACTATAAATTCTCAACACCCAAACTCAAGCATATCAAACACCAAGCCAAGAAAAAGCATTCTCATTTGCTAAACTTGTGGGTTTTTAGCTCCCACACTCCAAACTCTCATGCCAAGCTCATATAATCTCATATCAACATCAGGAAGGCATCTTCAACTCATCCAGGGTGAGCAACATCCTTACTCATTGCTGGAAGCTTCAATTTCAAGCTGTGTTCTTCCATCTTCTTCTTCTCTTTCCCATAAACACATTCAGAGAGAGCAAGCATCATTTCTCACATTTGAAATCTTCCATTTATTCCCATTTCTTCTCTTCTAGCAAGCCATCCAAGAGCTTAACAAAGCTTCCATCAAGTTGTTGGAAATCTGCTAAAGCTACACATCCTTTATCAATCTCTATCTCTCTCTCTCTCTCGTGAGCTCTCAAAAGGC